AAGAAGATCTGGATGCTTTTGTCTTGAAGTCGTGGTATGCTGAACTGATGGATGACAGAACACTCCTTGAAGCTGACACAGAGGAAGTCATGCATACAGTTCCCACATACATGACAGACACACAGTGTGTGTTAGTCTCTACGACCAGTGAAGATGTGCAAGGCCACTTGCCGGAGCGGGGTCACCCGCCAGGATACGACATGGACACTTCTTACTACGTTCCTTTATGCTCCACGGATCCGGACAGCAAATATGATCTGGACTCCGATGAGCACGGGAAGTACATCGAGCTCTGCTTCACAGCAGACATGTCCAAAGTCGTCCTGTCCGAGCAGCAACGCCGATTGTTGGATGACAGCAGCGACACAACTATGCGAGTATACGTTAGTGCTGCCTCCAAACGTGCCGTGGTCGTCAAGGAAGACGATCTACTCACGAAGGCCGACATTCAAGCGAATCCGGTCAAAGTTTCCAAAGCCCTTTACACAGAATTGAAGACTTGGCTTGACAATAAATGCTTTCAGGTGACTGACTTGAGCAAAGCGTCTAACATCATGACTTCACGCTACGTATACAAATGGAAGTTTGTCAAGAACGAAAAGGGCGAAATGGAAAGGACGATCAGGTACGCTTGGTACTCCGTGGCTTCATGGACCTTGAAGCCTTTGATGTCGAAACCTTCTCTGGCACGGCAAGGAGGTCAAGCCAGAGACTGCTCGCAAGTTCTGCTGCATGCAACACAGCTTGGATCATCGCTTCCCTGGACATCAACATGGCTTTCTTGAAGGGACTGACCTATAGCGAGCTTGCCGCGGCAACGGGCGAGAAAGAGCGTGTGGTGTGCTTCGCACTACCTCCTGGGTCAGCAGCTGTCCTTCGCACACTGCCAGGCTTTGAGTCATATGACGAATCAAAGCATTGTCTCCGGTGTCTGAAACCGGGGACGGGCACGAAGGATGCTCCCAGGGCATTCTCGCTGAAGCTCAGGTCCATCACTAGGAGCTTTGGGTTACAGCCTACTTCATACGACGAAGAGTTCGAGATGAGCCCAAACCTCTTGACAGCCAAGCACGTTGATGACATCAATATGACTGGGAAGGAAGAGGCTATTGACAAGTATGTCAAGTGTGTTGAAGATACGTTTGGGAAGTGCAAACTGAACAAGCACACATACACAAACTGTGCCGTTCGGTATAACAAGACCGATGATGGGAGCGTCACTCTTGATCAGGACGTATACATCAAACAGCTTCGTCCTATCACACATCCAGAACTCACAGGAGCTGATCCTGAGAGCAAAGCGACAAAGACGATTTCTGATATGTTCGTCAGTCTTCGTGGCGCTCTAGCCTATGCGTTGATCACGCAGGTATGGCTGATGGTCTATGTTGTCTCACTACAACGAATCCAGGAACCGACAAACATCCAGGTACGACGACTAAACGCGGTTACCAGAAAGCTACAGGCAGGTCCGAAGAAGATCGTGTATCAAGCTATGACCCCAACAGGAGAAGTTGACCTGCATAGCGATTCTGGCTATCGTCGTCTCAACGGAGATGAAGACGACGAAGTCAAAGGCTATGGTATCCGCGGGGCTAACCTGCTGAGGCGTGGCCTCACGCAAGCGGGGAAACCCGTCGTGCACCTGGTGGACGCATACTGCAAGTCTCATCGACTGCAAGTGCGTTCGAGCTACTCTGCGGAAACACTGGCAGCAGCCCACAACTTGAAGACTGCTACCCGACCATTGTAACGCTCCACGAGCTACACTCGGGACCATTGACCCCCACACAGTTAAAGAACATATTGGAAATGGGTGGTCTATGTGTCAAAGTCACTCTGACTATTGATGCCGAGTCTGTCTTCAAGTCTTTGTCTAGCAAAGATCTGAAGAAGCCCACAGAATGCACTCTGCTTGGGCACATTAGCTGGATCCGCCAGATGATGGAGCGCGGAATCGTTGAAAGCGTTCAATGGTGTGACCCGCGGGATATGACTGCCGATGGTCATGCCAAAGGTAGCATTGACCGCGCGTTGCTCCTACAAGTAATGGCCGGCCAGCAATCCTTCAAGCACGAGCTGAAGAAACATACACCGTATAGGGCGGGCAGGTCGTCTCAGGACGGCCCTGCCTCCCGAGCTAGCGGGGAAACCCGCGGGCAGGTGCGCTCTAGTAGCGAGGAAACTCGCCGGTAAGCGAGGCTACTCGCGCGCCCTTGCCTTGTAGGCAGCCGCTGCTGCTTAGCACTGTTTTTTCCGCATAATGTAGAAGTGCGGTGCCTGCTCGTCTCCTCCCCCTCCGACTTTAAACGGAGAAGGTTAAAGGCGAGGTATAAATCGAGCATGTGCCGCTGCCGTGCCTGGCTCAAGCCGGGCCCGGCCAAATATATGACTGTGCCTCACCGAGGCGCACGACTGGTATCTGAGATCGGAAAATACCTTTTCCATTGAAGATGCCCCTTCTATCCTTTACTCCAGATCCCATGCTTCGTCTCGCTCTCTTGCTCATGCGATATGAGCCAAAGCCTGGGATATGGCAACGCTTGAAGCGTAACACATACCTAAGCTTACCAGCATGTTTTCGACTCTCCCCCCCCGCGCCGGGGCAGGGATCAAAGGGAAGGGGCTTCCCTTCGACTCAATGACGACGTTGCTTCAACCTCTTCAGAGGCCCCGAAAAAAGGAGAATACGTTATGGGAAGAGCGAAAGGACGAGGACGACGACGAAGAGGAGGCAGACGGAGAAGCCTCTTCCACACGCCGACAGGGTCGGCGGATTCGGTCGATCCGATTCGGCCCGCCGCTTGCATGGCGCTCTGCGTCCAGGCCCAGCCGATCGATGCGATTCCGACTCCGTGCCGAGGCGGCCCGACCCGGCCCGCATTGCGATGCAAGTCGATTTCCCGATTCGACGCCGGCTGATTCTGCGGAATGGCCGGGGGTTGCTGAAGGTGCCCTTGGCCCAAGGTGCTCCCAGCTTCTCGCTCCATTCTGAGGTCGGCATGCCCCTCGCACGGTTCGTGGCCCCGTTGGGAGGTCCACCGCAAGCCTTCGGTGGAGCTCCCCCGGTGGAGCTCCCCATTTGGCCACGCAACATCTGAGTTGTGTGCCGAAATAGGGCGCGGCCAACATGCCAACCCACCCTGCCACTGGGGCCTTCGGTGGAGCTTCCTATGGGTCCGGGAAGCGTGTGAGGGGTGTGGCGAAATGGAGTGGGGCCGCCATGCGAACCCTGCCACTGGGGTCTTGGGTGGAGCTCGTATGGGGCCACGAGGCATTTCAGAGGTTTGCCAAAATGGGGCGGGGGTGTGCCGAAATGGAGTGGGGCCGCCATCGAACTCTGCCGCAGGGGCCTCCGGTGGAACTCCCTATGGGGGCACGAAGCGTGCGAGGGGTGCGCCACAATAGGGCGGGGCCGCTATGCGAACTCCGCCACTGGGGTTTTCGGTGGAGTTCCAGATGGGGCCACGCAACGTTTTCTGGGGGGTGCTGAAATGGGGCGGAGCCGCCATGCGACCTCCGCCACTGGGGCCTTCGGTGGGGCCCCCTATGCGGCCACGAAAAGTGTGAGGGGTGCGTCAGAATTGACATCAGGAGGGAGGGAGGGTCAGCGTGAGGAGGGGGAGGAGGAAGGATGACGCGGGGTTCAAAACGAGGACCCAACACCACAGGATGGTTGGGAAACATCATGTTTGTGTTCGGATGTTCGCACACTGCTCGCCAACGGTTCGGAACCATCTGCTCGCGAATTGCACGTCCCCAAAAGGCCTTGTCCGTGGCCGCCCGGCCCAGGTGAAGGAGTGATGCTCCAAACGAGCGTTCCGCAAACGGTTCGAGAACACATGTTCGCAAATGGTGCTTCAGCAGTCACATGCGCCCCACGCCCATGTTGCCCCCGCCGCCCCCCCCCCGGACCTCCCCCCATCATTCTTCTCACCTGCCTCGCGGTGTTCGCCGCTGCACATGGTCGGCTCCTCCGCCAGGCTCGTGCTGTTCTGCTGGCACCTCGGGCCTGGACTGCTTGGGCCAGCAATGCCCGCAGCACCTGCAGAACAACAACGTATGGGCAACATGCAGAAGCCAACAGCCATCATAATACAAAAGTGTAAATACCCGTGGAAAAGTAGAGGGGGCCGAAGGGCACGTGGTAGATCACATCCTCCTGCTCCTCCTACCTTTCCTTCTTCTCCTCCTCCTCCTCCTCCTCCTCCTCCTCGTCCTCCCTTTCCTCCTCCTCCTGCCTTTCCTCCTCTTCCTCCTCCGCCCTATCCTCCTCACTCCTCCTCCTCCTCCTCCTCCTCCTCCCTCCTTTCACTCTCACTCCCTTTCCTCTCTTCCCTCCACAGGGCCCTTTTCCCCCTCCTCCTTCTCCTCTCCTCCACCTCCTCTCCTCCTCCTCCCATCCTCCTCCCACACCTCCTCCTCCTCCTCCTCCCCTACCCACTCCTCCTCCTCCTCCTCCTTCTCCCGTCTGTCATCACATCCATCAATCATCGTTGGCATCCCTTTCCTCCTCCTCCTCCTCCGCCCTTTCCTCCTCCTCCTCCTCCTTCTCCTCCTCCTCCTCCTCCTCCTCCTCCTCCTCCTCCTCCTACTCCCCCTCCCTGTCCTCACCCCGCACACCAGTCCCCAGACCCCCGACGTGGCGCTCTCGCTGCAGCCGTGGGCCAGGCGGACGCCTTGACGCCTTCTCGCCGAGACGGGCTCTCCGCCGCGAGCCCTCCCGTGGACGGCCAGGCCCGCCTCGCCCCCAGATAGCCTGACCTGGTCATCTTGGCGGTGGCGCTGGTCCGAAGGGGCGGGGGGGCTGAAGTGGCTCGCGCGGGCATGCGCGGGGCCGCCCACAGCGAAAAGGTCTGGCCATCGGACGGCACTTCCCCCCCAGACAGCCCCAGTGGGTCATCGCCGAAGGACACATACAACACGACCTACGAGGGCCCGGGCCCGTCGCCCCCGATCGGCGCCCCCCCCTTCCCCTCTCGGCGACCGCCCGCCGCGAGGAACGGCGGGGACGCGGGCCTCAAGAGCCTCGGCGCGCTGATCGGCGCCGGCTATTCTGCGGAGGGGCCTCCGTGAGAAACGGCGCCCATGCGCGCGCGCGCCGCCGCCGCCCCCCCGGCTCTCTGCCACCCTGCCTCGAGTTCTGCTGCCTCGTGCCCGCCCGCCCTTTTTTCCGCCCCTCGAGGAGGAGGCGGCGGCGGCGGAGGAGGAGGAGGAGGAGGAGGAGGAGGCGGATGCTTCAAGCCCTCGGGCCTCTTGCTTAGCCTGTCTCTCTTGCCTGGTCTTTCTGTCTTCTGCGCTGGCCTCGCCACGTCGCTGCCACAGGTTCTGAGTCGGCTCGCCACAGCCTGTATTTTTCGATGTGCTGCAGGAGCGCCTTTTTCTCTGGGATGCAAGAACGCTGCACCAAAAGGAGAGTTGGAACGAAAGGGGGAGCCGGGGGGAGCCAGGGATACCTCCGCTGGACGTGGTGCCCAGGCGAGTTGCTTCCCGCTTCCCCCTTCGTCCTTACCTCGTCCCTCTTGTTGCCGCCAGGGGTCTGGCGGTTGCAGGGGTTGGAGGGGCCGGGAAACTGCTGGGCTGTCGTCGTCGTCCCAGCTGTTCTCTCTGCCCTTGATTGCACACACAAAGTACTATCTGTATCTGCTCGGATAGATACGTAGGGAGGGCAGGCGGAGCAAGGGAGGGAGAGGGACACAAGAGGGAGGATGACGAGGACAAGGAGGAGTGAGGAATGAATGGGGGTATGGGTATGGCAGGGGCCTTAAGTCAGTCGGGAGGAGTGGGGGAGGAGGAGGAGGAGGAGGAGGAGGAGGAGGAGGAGGAGGAGGAGGTGAGGAGGAGGAGGGGAGGGAGGATAGGAGTGAGGACGAAAGGAAGGAGGAGGGACGGAGAGGAGGAGGAGGAGAGGGATCCTGGCCCCGTCCCGCCCCTCGCAGACCCAGCTGGGAGTGCCGGCCGGCGCCCAGGGGGGGCGGAGCAAGCGCGCCGGCCTGCCAGCCCCGCAGGTCAAAGACGCCGTCCACGTGCTCCCGACCCCTGCCACGCCCTGCGCTTTGCCGCCGCCGCCGCCGTCTCCTGAGACAGGAGGGAAAGAAACACACAGACAGAATTAATCGTCGATTCCCCAGAAAATATAGGAAAAGATGGGAGGTGGGGGGGAAGACAAGAACCCAGGCAATATTGGAAGATATGGGGATCCTGCGATTTGTTTCTATTTATTTGTGTGTCCCAGGTCCCCTTCACTGAGACAAGGGCATTTTGCCCAGTTGTGATCGTTTTTTAGTCGATGTTTTGCCGATCGGCGCGGGCACCCAAGACCCCCCTCCCTCCCCCCCCCATGGAGTAGATCTTGGCTGCTTTGGGCGCCTGTTTCGAGCAGGTGGAGCCCCCTCATAGGACCAGTGCTGCAAACCGTCGCAGTGAGCAGAGGTCCGGAGCCAGACCCCCCCTCCCCCCCCTTCCGCCCAATGTCGAAACGCCCAACGAAAAAGCGCTCCCCCGGCGTCGGGCCCCGGGACTCGGGCGTCGAGTAATAGGGGGGGGGGGGCGCTAAAGTCAGAGGAGCATGAAGTATTGATATTGATAGTTTTCCAGATTTCCAGGTTTTCCTGTTCTTCCGCGGGGGCTCCAGGGACGAATGGTCGAGCGCATTCCGTCGCGCAGGTCTTTTGCGTGATGTTCGAGGTGCGTTTTTCGCGCACCGGAGCGCCTTCGAAGATTCCAAGCTGCATGCTGTGTTGCTTTTGGGGAGTCCGCGAGTCGCAGCTGCCGTGGCGCTGTTTTCGAGGTAGCCCCTTCGAGTGCTGTTCGCGGGTGCAACGCGCGGCGCGCGCTGCGCCCAATCGCGCGCGGCGCGGCGCGTGAATCAGCCGGCCGCGCCCGTCGGACCGCCCGGACATTATTTCTGGATTGTAGAGTGTGTCAGAAAACGCTTCCGCTTTTTTCCGCGCAAGCGGTTCCATAATTTTTCAAAAAGAAGCCCGGCAATTTTCAAAAAAACAGTTTTGAGGGGTGGAATGCGCCCGCCGCGCAGGACATCTGAAGAGTTCCGAAATCTGGAAATTGTCAAAATTGATTCCGGAATTTTTCAAAATCGATCCCGGAAATTTTCAAAAACGATCCCGGAAAATTTCAAAAAGTAGGCCGGACATGTTCAAACATGTTCCCAGATTTGTTCAAGTTTACCCCCGGGGAATTTTCCAGAGTCGAGCATGCTTTGCCTTGCCAGGTCTTTGGGAATCCGCCGAGGCGCGCGGTGCGCGGCGGCGGGCGATGGGACGGTGCGCCACCGTCCCCTCCGCGCTCGGCAACGAGAGGGGGGGGTCAGCAATTGCCAAAGAGCCTTTTACGGGCGACCACTCGATTGCGAATGACTGACTGACCAGCGGCGCCAGCCAGAGTAGACAAACCTCGACGCCAGGTGTACCCCGCGCGAAGGCTGTTAGAAATCCCGGAATTTCCGGAACGTATCAATAGCACGTTGTGTCAATAGATTCTTCCTGTCCTATAAAGGGGAGGGGGCGGGGCAGGTGCACCTCTTGTGCCCCAGAAGGCCCCCCGGGAACCTGGGGCCCAACAGGGGCACGAGATGTTTACGTTCCCCCCCCCCACCTCCTCCTCCACCTCCTCCTCCTCCTCCTCCTCCTTCTCCTCCTCCTCCTCCTCCTCCTCCTCCTCCTCCTTCCATGAACTAGCGCCCAAGGGACCCTCACAAATTGACCCGGCATGAAGAAAGGCGGAAAAATGTGGTCCAGGAGTCCAAGCTTCTGCTCGTGAGTTTCATGATTGTGTCATTTTTCACAGCGTGTCAGATCTCACGATGATCCGCATCAAAGGGAACTCCGACCATATCAAAGGGAACTCGGCGGGAGGAGGAGGATGAGGAGGGAACTCGGCGAGAGGCGGAGAAGGAGGAGGAGGAGGGGGAGAAGGAGATGAAGACCCAGAGTAAACCTAAGAGGCCAGAACGCCCAAGAGGCATCAACGATGTTGCAATAAACCCTCCTCCCACGGTTTTTCTGAATATGCCCCAAGCAGACATTTAGCTCAGTGCGGGATAGGCCACTAGAAGATAATAGCTTGATAATCCCCAATGTGGCCAAGCTAACACTCCTGGGACTTCAACACCGCGAAGCAGCGTGATTTTTGCGTCCTGACATTTTTCAATCGCACCCGGGCATGATTCCAGGGATATCCTACATACCAATCCTAGAAACGGTTGCAAACGTTCGCGACGAATGTGCGCGGAGCTCAGGCGAGAGCCACATCTTGAAAAGGAGCCACAGTTCATTTTTGAAGGCGGTGTAAACTTTTCAGTTGAGCGCGCGCAGCGCGAAGGCGAGAGCAACATTTCGAACGACCCGCCCGCCATCCGCGAAGCTGCTGCATCTCTTGAAGACGAAATTGCACGGCGCTAGGCGAGAGCTACACTTTGAACACGACCCGCCCTCAACCCGTGAAGCTCTTGCAGATATAACGAGCGCGTGCGGAGCTGAAGCGAGAGTTTCGTTGTGAAAACCACCCGCCCTCCACCCGTGAAGCACTTGCAGAGTTTCGAGACGGATATGTGCGGCGCTACGGTGAGAGGCATATTTTGAACGCCACCCGCCGTCCATCCGTGAATCAGTTGCGAGCTTTCAAGACGAAGGTGCGCGGTGCTACGGCGAGAGCCACAGTTTGAAAGCCACCGCCGTCCATCCGTTAAATTGTTGCAAACATGCACGACACATGTGCGCGGCCCAAATGCGAGAGCCACATTTTGAAAAAAAAAAACGCCCTTCATTTTTGGAAGTGCCGCAAATTTCTAGCTGGACCGTATAAGTGGCGAGTAAGCCTGCGGCGAAACGCTTCGCCCGCCCTACAGACACGGATGACGGAGGAGGAGGAGGAGGAGGAGGAGGATTTTTGTTGTTTTGTCACGGATGACCGAACAAGTTTGGGCCCAGAACCCTCGTTTCCGCCTCATCGTCAAAGTCGATTCTAGCAGTGGGTTGCTCGTCCTCTTCCTGTCGAAGTGCGTTTGCCACACCCCGCACCGCGTCCCCACTCCATCTCCTCGCCCAGGGGGAGGAGGGCCAGAAAGCGAAAGGGCGGCTGGGAGGAGGAGGCGGAGGAGGGGAGGGAGGGGGAGAGGAGGAGGAGGAGGGGAGGAGGAGGATGAGGATGAGGAGGAGGAGGAAGGAGGAGGAGGAGGAGGAGGAGGGGATGAGGTGTAGTTGGGAGGAGGAGGGAGGAGGAGGAGGGAGGAGGAAGAGGGGGAGGAGGAGAAGGAGAAGGAGGAGGAGGAGAAGGAGGAGGAGGAGGAGGGGGAGGAGAGGGAGGAGGAGAATCTGCCGGTCGCCGCCCTCCGGCAGTCGCCACCACAGCTCTCGCTCCTCGCACCAGCATTCGGTCGCCTGCCTTCGGACGTCGGCCTTTGCCGCCGTCGCCCAGCGCCGCCGTCTTCGGCGCGGCCGCCCGACGCCGAAAAGTCACGTCGGACGGTTTGTGACCACTTTCGGCATCCCAGGACACACGCGGGGCCCCCAGACTGTCCACGGACGGCTCAGGATGAAGAACCGGTGCCCGTGGAAGGGCCGGGACCTTCCGTGGAGGGCGTCGCAGACATCGCATGCCTGGGTGCGGATGGAGGCGTTGGAGCGATTTCGTCCCTGATGCGCCTTCTTCGGGGCGGGGTCTCCTCGCCGCCGGGTCGTCGATGGCGACAGGCCCGTGCGGTGCAGCTTGGCAGCCAAGCCTCCTGCTGGCCCTGCAGCTCCCCAAAGTCCTCAGTACCAGTGCAGCCCGCCAGGAGACCATTTCTTGATCCTCTGGCGACAACGGGCGGTACCTTGGAGTGGTGAGGTGGTTCGTGAGGTTGTACAGCTGGTGGTCGTTGTGCTTACTCGAGTTAATCCAGCCACGATTTTCGAAGCGGGTACGCGCGCACGTCTTGGATGATGACGATGCTGATGTTGATGATGATGCTGATGATGATGATGGTGATGATGATGCTGATGATGATGATGGTGATGATGATGATGATGATGATGATGATGATGGTAATGATGATGATGATGCTGATGATCATGATGACGACCGGTGGTCGATGACCGATGACTGGTAGCCCCACCCGGCCCGCCCGGTAGGGTCCGGTCGCCCTGCTCGATCCGCCCGCTGGGGCTCTCGAGTGCCAATTCGATGACGCACCATACCTTACGTAAATTACTGTTCCGCCCGTCCCTCACGATGATTGCGATGGTGATCTCGCAGTGAATGACGAAGAGGGTAGGGATCATGGATCATGGTGGTGATGGTGATGATGACGATGATGGTGATGTTGACGCTGATGCCGGTGAGGTTGATAGTGATGAGGTTGTCGGTTATAGGGGCGATGATGGTGCTGATGTGGATGCAAGGGATGCCGATGATGAAGATCATGACGATGAAGATAATGATAATATGATGATGGTGATGATGATGAGGAGGAGGGTGAGGATGAGTATGAGGATGAAGATGACCACGATTATAATACTGAACATGACGATGCTGACGACGAAGATGCTGATGATGATTGTGACGGTGACGGTGATGATAATCATGACGGTGACGATGGCGATGACCCATGAGGACGAATACGATGATGATGAGAATGATGATGATGGTGATGATGATGGCGACGCTGATGATGTTGAGGACGATGATGGTGATGACGAGGATGACGATGATGGTGCTGATGGTGGTGGTAATGATGATGACGATGAGGATGAAGGCTGCGGACAATGATGACGATGACAATGATGATGTTGATGATGATGATGATGCTGATCATGATTATGATGCACGATTGTGATGTTGATGATGATGATGATGATGATGATGATGATGATGATGATGATGATGATGATGATGATTAGGATGCTGTTCATGATGGTGAAGATGATGCTGGTGGTGACTACGATTATGATGTTGGTGCTGGTGGTGATGATGATGATGGTGATGATGATTATGGTGCTGCTGATGTTTATGGTGCTGTTGATGATGATGTGGATGGTGATCATGATGTTGATGCTGATCAGGATTATGATAATGATGTTTACGATGAGAAGGGTGCTGAGGATGTGTTCCGTCATGGTGGTTATGCTGGTGATGACGAGGATGATGATGAAGCTGAAGTGTCCCTTGACAGGAGGAATCTTCGGAAACAGTCCAAGAATAGTCTGGGGACGAACTTTGTATTATATTGTTTCTGACGATGTTGGGGCATTTTTGGCATATTGTTTATTCCTCGTCCGAAATGCGCCTGTAGGAAGACACGCCCGACCTGAGGGAAGTCAAACAGTGGCGAAGCGTCCTGGCGTGCCTGGAGGCTATCAATAGGCCTACCAAACAATGTTCTAAGAACTTTCGGTGGTTTCCACGAAGTGTTCTTAGAACGCTTCTGGCTGGGACTGCCTTGTTTGTGAACACATCGGTTTTGTGTTCTAGGAACATTGTTTTTGTTCTTCGAATACTTGTGGGTTCTGAAAACATGTCGTGGTAGGCCTATGGGAATGCTGGGAGGATCGGTCCCTGCCCAAGGAAGGTCGATCTCCCCCCTGTGCCAGCGCTGGTGCTGGCGCCATAGCGCTGGGGTGCGTCACCGCCGAGGGGTTCGTCGTGGCGTCGGCCTCGGAGCATTCGTAGGTGCACGTTCTTGCCTGCGGCGAGCTGGGGGGAGGGGGTCAGTCACTGCCCCGAATCATCAGGGGTACCTCGGTTCAGGGCTAACTCTCGAAAAAGAAAAAAACACATAAGCATAAACTTGTGGCGCTCGGCGCGGATTTCTTGGATCCGCGCCTGGTCCCCCCGGCGGCGCCTCCGGCGCCGCCCCCAGGGAGGGGGGTCCATCGGGAATCCAAGAAATCCGCGCGGAGCGCCAAACGTTTATGTTTATGTTGCTTTGTCTTCTTCTAAACTCGAGTTCTTGTTTCGGGATTCAAAACCCGAGATACCCCTGGCCCGAGTTACCCCAGATAACTCGGGCGTCCAGATCCTCGAACCATCAGAGGTAACTCGGGTCGGGGCTAACTAGCGTTCGTTCTTCGGGAATCCAAACCCGAGTTACCCCAGACCCGAGTTACCGCGGATGCTTCGGGCGCCCAAGTTTGGGAGGGGGTGGATCAGGGGGCGGTTCCCCCCAGTTTTCCCCGCCGCGCCGAATGTCCGAGGGGGGGAGGTCCTGGTTCCGACGCGTCGCGTTTTTTTTTTGTCCAAGCGAGCGTCAGCGAAATGTGTTCTCTGTGATGTCTCAGTACGGGAGTCCACAGGAGCCCCCCCCGTCCCCGCGCGCCCCGCTCTCCGGCCCGAGCCGTTGTCTGATGGCCCCGGGGCGTGGCGGGGGACCCCGCAGGCCGTGAATTGAAAGGATGCAAGGCACCCAGCCCCCAGCAGCCGAACGGGTTTGCTGCCGTAAAGCATGTGACCACAGTGGTGATCCAAAACGTGGTGGGACCATGGTGATCCAAAACGTGGTGATCGCATAGGTTCCGCACCGATGAACACATCGGCCGCATCCAGGCCCGTTCGGGTAAAAATTCGGGCGCCGGGCTGGGTCACAGTACACCCCAGAGGCGAGGCTTCGGTAGCTTCGTGTCGTATCGACCGGCGGCGACCCCGCCGCCTGCGTTCAACACTGAACGCCGCCAGCGATCCGGAATCGGCCGATGTTGAACGATCGGACGTTTCGGAAAGGGCCGCTCGTGCAAGGTTGAACAAACGCCGAGGTTGGCAAGACACGAATCTGAGGTACGTGAGATGGCCTAGACATGCGACGTCCTCATGTTTTTCCATGCGCAGTCCCCAGAAGTGCCGACCCTTTCCCGGTGACCGGCTTTTCATTCCGAGTTGTTTTTTAATTGTCATGGGGCCCAGTCAGGGTTCCCAGAGGCCGAAAACGATGCAACGTTGTCGGTCCGGATTCTTTAAGCGTTTCCCAATAGGCGTGCCCGGAAGCTCTCCAGAGAGTCCTTCGGAAGCTCTCTTCAGGTCCTTCCAGAGCTACTTCGACGGGCCTTTCCACGCCCTTCAGGCGGCCTGCTATCCGGGTTTTCGACCTCACACGTTGAGCCACCCAGCAAGAAGAGACACTGCACCCCGTGAAGCTCTTGCGCGAGCATGCCTGGGTCTGTGTCGGCGGCCAGGTGCTGGAGGACGGCGTGCACGTCCACCTGTCCAACGGCAGCGGGGAGCAGTACGTGCCGCCGCTGCAGCGACCAGGCGCGCGGTCTCCTGGAGCATCGGCATCGGGGGGGGGGGGGCGCGCGGAGGCAGATCGAGGGTCGAGGATTTTGAGGAGGAGGAGGAGGAGGAGGAGAGGAGGGAGGAGGAGGAGGAGGAGGAGGAGAGGAGAGGAGGAGGATGAGGGGGAGGAGAGGAGGAGCAGGAGGAGGGGAGGAGGTAGGAGGAGGAGGAGGAGGAGGAGGAGGAGGATCTAGGAGGAGGAGTCCCACCTGCTGCCTGCCGCAGGCAGGGCGGTGGCCGTCTGCTGCTGGGGGAACCCCGTCCTGGACGAAGATGCTTTGCCTCGGCCATATTGCGGACGCATTCGATCCTGCAAGATTTTTTGGGCCTCTCTCTGTCTCTCTTTCCCCTCCCTCTCCCTCCCAATTGTAGCTCCTTCATGGTCGTGTCGGCAAAGATGCCCACACCGTACGCAGGGTACTGTGCCTCGAAGCCTGCCGCTCGAGGCGGCTCCGCCTCGCCCTCTGTCCCGACGAGCTCTCGCGGATCGGTGGCGCCCCGTGGGTGGGACTTCCCGTCCTGGACCATTTTCGGAGACGTTCGTGGACTCCCGTAGGTTGTGGGCGTGTTCTCCGCCGCCACCAGGAGTCGCAGGGGGTCCTCCTCCTCCTCCTCCTCGTCCTCCTCGTCCTCCTCCTCCTCCTCCTCCTCTTCCTCCTCGTCCTCCTCCTCCTCCTTCCCCCCTCCAACTTACGGGGGTGGTGGTGGAAAACAGGCCCATCATTCTGCCAGCCTCGGGCTGCTACTCAGCGGCTGCGCCTCGCCGGGAGCGCTCCAGGGGTGCCCGGGGTGCCCAAGCCCGTCCCGAGCGGCTGCTCGTGGCCCGAGCCGTGGCCGGAAGACTGGCGGTGGCCCAGATCTCCGACGAGCTGTTGGTGTCCCTTCCCAGCGTTCGGAGGTGGATAGACCTCCCACCCTGACACGTCGATTCGCGAATTGGCCTTTTTCGGTTCGCGAGAGGGCGTCGCGGCCGTCATGTTTGTTGGTCCAGGTCCGTCGGTTTCGGTCCTGGGCCGTTTTCACTCAAGGGTGGCTTACTGAAGGGAGGCTTGTCCACCGCCGAAGAGTGTCTCCTGGACTCTTCGGCCTGCGGCCCGTTGTGGGCCCGCGGGCTATCGGAAACGAATCTGGGACGAAACATCGCGCTCAGGGACAGAGGTTGGGAGCTCTGGGTTCGCGCATTGAGCAAAAATGGTACCGGAGGAAACCCCAATCACAATCTTTTTAGGGCTCTAGGGCTATTGGGCTATAGGGCTACAGGGCGATAAGGCTATAGGGCTATAGGGCTATCCGTAAGGGCTTCGCCCCCTGCCGCCGGGGATTCGTGGCCTCGGGGGCGCGCCCGCTGCATAATTTACGAAGGATCGTGGCGTCAGGGCGCGAAAATTATGTAAGTTACATGGGATCGTGGCTTCGGGGGAGCGAATGTGATGTAAATTACTAAGGATCGTGGCCTCGAGGGCGCGAATATGCAGTAATTTACACGGGATCGTGGCCTCGGAGACGCACATGTTGTGTAAAAGGGATGTTGGCCTCGGAGTCGCGAATGCGGCATAATTTACCAGGTATCGTGGCCTCGGGGGCGCGAATACAGCGTCATCTGCGAGGGATTATGGCTTGGGGGGCACGAAACTCTTGTATTTTTACGTGTCCCGCGCCCCCCAGAAATTCTGAGAACCTTCCCAGGGGACGCTAACCAGGGTCCTTTTCGGCTCCCCCCCTCGCGCGGACAGTAACAATTTACAGTAGGAAGCAGAAAGCAGTATTGTAACAATGGAAACTGGAAACTGGAACTGGTGCGGGGAGCAGCAACCTTAACCCTCGCAGCCTGATGGCCCCGCAAGGGGGCCGGCGGATAGTGCTATAGGGCTGTAGGGCTACAAGGCTACAGGGCTATGGGGCTATGGGGCTATGGGGCTGTAGGGCTATAGGGCGAAAGGCACCCGGGCACCCGGGACAATTCCCCACGCACCCCGAGCACCCGGGCACCCAGGAAAATTCTTGGCGCACCTCACCTAACCATAGGCATCCGCTAGGACCCCTACGGAGGCAAGCTCTGATTGGGGAACATCGTCGGATGCCTGGGCTTCGCGTTGATTGCCCACCCCTGGCCCGGCAGGCCCTACTCGGGGTACAGCTGGCTCCCTCTTGCTCGGGTGTGCAAGCCAGCTGGGTTTAAGTCGGGCCTGTATTTCTACAGGGGAAATAGCAACAAAAAAAAACAGAAAAAGTCTGGGGACGATTGTTGGACAATTTTGAGCATTGTTGGAGTATTGTTTGAATATTGTGACGCTTTCGCCAAAAATCCCCCTGCAGGGGGGCAGGCCCGACCTAAAGCTGGGTCCCACTCTCAAGCTAACCCTCGCCAGCTTCGCCTTCGCCATCGCTCCATCAGCTTGTGTGTATCCGCAAACCACCAAAGGATCCCATATCAGATGTTGCTGGGTGGGACCGACGTGAAGCCTGAGGTGCCTCGTTTCCTTCTCCTCTTCCTCCTCTTCCTCCCCTTGCTCTTGTTTCAATGCCAAGTCAGATTCCGATCCTCCCGCCGATATTTTTTTCAGAAAACGGTTGCCGTAGGAATTCCAGTCTGGATCATAAGATAGGAAGTGTCAACCAACATTGGCAAACCAACATGGGCTCCACGGGCTCCACTGTGGCAAGCACTCTGTTGTCATAGGGCGTCCGCACATGTGGTCTGGTCCATTCGACAACTTTACGTGCCTATGCTGAGCAAGCGTGGTATGACTCGTAGTACGGAGTGCCTACTATGAGTCGTAGTGCTGTCCCTAGTCTGAGTCCCAGTAGGGAGTCTCTACTATGAGTCATAGCACGGTTTCCCTAGTCTGAGTCGTAGTGCGGAGTCCCTAGTATGAGTCTCAGTAGGGAGTCCCTACTATGAGTCCCACTTGGGAGTCTTTACTATGAGTGATAGTATGAGTCGCAGTAGGGAACTCGTACCATGAGTCGCAGTAGCGAGCTCCACCGATGCGTCGTAGTATGGAGTTCCTACTATGAGTTGTATTGGGGAGCTCGTACTATGAGTCGTAAAAGGGACGTCCCGCTATGAGTCGTAGTAGGGTTGGCTCCCATTATGAGTCGTAGAAGGGAGCTCGTACTGTGAATCGTAGTAGGGAGCTCGTGCTATGAGTCGTAGTAAGGCGCTGGTACTATGCGTCGTAGTTGGGAGCTCCCACCATGAGTCGTAGTAGGGAGGGCGTACGATGAGTCGTAGTATGGAGCTCGCACGATGAGTCGTAGCAGGGAGCTCTTAAGATAAGTCGTAGCAGGGAGCTCGTACTATGAGTCGTAGTCGGGAGCTCGTACTATGAGTCGTATTAGTGCGGTCCTACAATGAGTCGTAGGGGGAGCTCCTACTGAGCGCAACGCTGCTCACATCCGCCATGGAATGGGCAATGTCGCATTGGAAGAAACACTACTGACGTCTGAAAGTGGACCTGACAAGGTGCGGGGAGCATGTCGTGAACTTGTGTTCCGCTGACGTTATTATTTTGATGGTTCATTTGGAAGGGAGGTGTTTTTTAATTAGACGCTCATGTCGGAGATGCTGGAAGCCGGGCTTGTTCTCAGCGCCAGAAGACCACGGCATTGACCAGTATGTCCGCGATCCGCACGCTGGCAAGGTCAATCATAAACGTCAATGCAGACTCTGCTTATGAGCGGTCGGGTAGCATGTTGTACAATGCGGACCAGACTCTGGTACATTGGATTTGGTACCACATGAAAGGCGCAGCGACGGCTTTGTATGCGAATCCCCGTCGTCTGTGCGACAGGCGAGCCTCCATCGAACAGATGTAAAGATTGTTCAATCCCGTCGTAACGGCAGCGGCGTGTTTTTGCGATAAAACAAGGATGGGCACCGAATGTCGACGCTTCTTGCGACAGGCTGTTGGATCACCTCAGGACATTGATCGGGATGCGCCAGGACGTGATGCACTTTGTGTTTGGCACGAGCGTGCGCGCAATTTCCTCGAACGTGCTGGCATTTGCACATGGGCTGAACAACGTGCTAACCAGCGCTTGTCGGTTGCAGTGGCCAGGGACAGGATGGATCACGAAAGTTCTGAATTGGTCACCGCGCGGTCGTCGTAGAGCAGGCCGGCCGAAGGTGAGGCGGACAAGCAACTTGGAAGCTTCCGGTTGTGTGATCGACCCTCAACGGCGTTGTAGTTTTAGATGTTTTCCATATGGCGGTCCCAGAAAGAGCATTGCGAGTCTCAGCGATCGTTGCGCGCGCGTGTATAGCACGCTGCCGGGTGCCCCCGCCTGCGCCCTTCATGGGCTCGTCTTCCAGTGCATGGGTTTGACGTTGTGACCTGCTCTGTTCCGTCTGACGGCTAGCAGCAACACGAGAGGACCATCCAGCCATCCTGACGCAACTTCGTTCAGGAGCATTGTCCTTTGTGATCTGACGCATACGGACAAGAACATCCATTAACCGTGTTTTTTTGCGCTGCCTTTTCCACGCAAGTATGGGCAGCGTGGGCCCCGAACGCTACGTTATAGCATACCAACTGGTGCAACCTATGTTGTACAATCTGCGTGGTGCAAGAACGTGGTGTTGGGTATGGCGCGTGGTGCCATCTACCTGGTCAATGTCTGTGTTTCAAGCTGCGTGGTGCAATATAGAGTTGGTGCGCTGTCTGAGCGGTGCCGTCTGCGCAATGCGATCCGCGTGGTGGAAATTATGCTGCGCAGTCAATGTGGTGCGAACGTGCCCAGTCTGAACTATGTGGTGGTAGAATTTGTGGTGCGATCTATGTTGTCCGATCTACCGGGTGCAATATGTATATATATACATATATATCTATGTATGTTGTCGATCGGTGCGGGGCAACCTACGTGGTGCAATCTGTGTATGTAGATACTTCGCTCTTGTGCTTGCCATTCCGGCGGATGGGCCACACAGAAATGCATTGTCGTGTGCCAGGCATGAGCACACGAGGGGTTGGCAG